AAGGACATTTTTGGTAAAGGGAATAAATGGGATGGGTAAGGATCAGAGGTAGAGGTGACTATAGAGGCCATTTAGTTCAGCCTTCTCATTTTACATATGAGATAACTGAGGCCCATAAAGGTTGAGTGACTTTTCCAGGGTCACACAGCTATTAAGTGTTTGAGGTGGGATTTGAACTCAGGTCCTCTGACTTCAGTGCCAGAACTGGCACTCTTTCCACTGCACCACACCTCTTTTGAAAGCACATAAACAGAAAAATGTTGTATGCATTAGAGTATCCTGTGGATAAAGAACCATGATTTCGAATTGGAATGGGCCTTGAAAACACCTAGCCCAACCCCTTAATTTTTATTTTTATGTTTTATTTTTTCCTTTTTGGTGAGGCAGTCCGGGTTAAGTGACGTGCTCAGGGTCACACAGTTAGTAAGTGTCAAGTGTCTGAAGCCGGATTTGAACTCAGGTCCTTCTAACTCCAAGGCCAGAGCTCTATCCAGTGAGCCAGCTAGCTGCCCCGCTTAATTTTTAAAAATAAGGAAAGTGGCCCAGAGAAGCCAAGATTTGCTTGAGCACATTCCGTAGTTAGGTAGTTAAGTGAGGATTTGAATCTTTGGTTCATCTGACTCCAAACCCAGCCCTCTTTTTGACTCCACTCACTGAATGATGAACTAACTATGTTCATGAACCCAAACAGGGTTGTTACGATAAAATGAGATGACAGAGGAGAGGGTTAGGGAATTGGATTAGTGTTAGGGGCTTTTGAAGCCTCAAAGGGCTATTCTGAATACCTCCTTCCTCTCCCGATGATCTAGCAAATGTCAATTATTATTATTAATTTACATGACAGTGACTTTTCATTAGTGAAGCTAAATCTTGCCCCCGAAACAACAGGCATCAGGGAATTTCTTGCCACATTTTCAAAACTCAAAGACATACAAACATAGACAAGGAGCAGGGACACAAATGCTCAGCTGGCAAAAGATAATTCCTTCCTGTCTCTCACTGTTTGCACAGACTTTAACTAATAAAAGGAATGCATTTTGCAATCTCTCTCTTTTTTTCCCCTCAGGCTGACTTAGGAAAAAACAATCCTTTATAGCAGAAATTACAGGTCAAGAGGCTTCTAGAATTACAGGGCACCTTTCAGTATCTCTCCCACTGCCTCCAGGCAGGATTGCTCCAAAACAAATGAGAGAGACTCAAAAGAAGGGGTGGGAGACTTGGTAGAGTTCTTGTTCTTAAAGTTCTCCTGGGAAAGAGATGTCACAGCAGTGACTAGAGAACAGAAATGCAAAGGAATAAGGTGATCATCATATTAGTAACAGAATACCAGTCAAGTATAAAGTGTAAAGAATACAGTAAAGTGTAAAGTAAATCACAAAAGATGGTGTAGTCAAATAGAAAAATATATGGGAATGCTTGGTTTTATTTCTTCTAAAAAAATTTTCCTCTTGGCTTAGTTTCTCCTCAATCTAAATCAAACTCAAATCATGTAAAAGTCATGAGCAAAGACAATTATGTCTCATACATGCCTCCTTTGTGACCTCCTGGTTGATCTGATAGGCTCTGGATCAACCCCTTTTGTTCCTGACACAGGCATCTACCAATGTTCTATCCATGTTTGTTGAACTGGATTGTGCTGACTTACGTGGCGGCTGGAAGCTGGGAGGCGAGGGTCTCATCGTGACCTAATGGAACTGAGTTTGTTTCACTTCAGTTTGACTAGTGTTAAGTACTCAACACAGGAAGTCTCAGACTGCAGGTCAACCTAAATGAGAGCAACACTCCCACCACTCAGTGGTTTAGAAATTCAACAGGGGGATCTTATCCAAGCCAGGGGGATGCTTACATTGTGCTTATAGAATTTTCCTTCTATCAAGATCAAATCTACCTCGTCTCCACCTCTAGTTTTCCTTCAAGACTCGGTGAAGTCTCACCTTCCACAAGAAACCTTCTGGATCCCTTTTCTCTGTCAATTATCTCCATTTTTATTCCATATGTATCTTTGTACATAGTTGTTTGCATGCTGTCTCCCCATTAGTCTATGAGCTCCTTGAGAGCAGAGACAGGTTTTTTGCCTTTGTATCCCGAGGGCTTAGCAGTCCCTGGCATATGGTAGGTGCTTAATAAATGCTTGAGTATTTGTAACATCTTTCTACTGCTCCCAATCCTGCCCTCTGGTGTCAAGCAGAATACAAAACAGATTTTCAAGTATTTCAACACAGCTCCCACGTCCTCCCCATGGCATCTCTTTTTCGGGATAAAGAGAGTAGTTCCTTCAATAAACAGATCCTTGTATGGTAGAATCGCAAGGGCATTCACCTACCGGCTGCCCTCATCTGACTGTTCTCTGGCTTGTCAATGTCCTTGCCAGTATGTGTCCTCCAGAACTGAACACAGAACCCCAGATATGGGTGGACCTGGTTAGAATACGGCAGAACTATCCCATCCTGTGTTGTAGACATCATGCCTTTCAATTAAACCAAATATCATGTTAGGGATTTTTGTCTACTGTATCACACTGTTTGACACATAGATTGAAGACCTTAAACTCTCCAAATCTTTCACGAGACAAGTGAACTAGTTGCCAAAGTAGCAATAATAGGAAGTGGGGAGGAAAACGACCAGTTTGGTCAATTAACAAACATTTATTAAGTGCCTACTATATGCAAGGCACTGTGGTAAGCCCTGGGGATACAACTCTTAAGGAGTTCACAGCCTACTGGGGGAAATAACATGCACACAACTATGCATAGTTTATATATAGGATAAACTGAAGATAATTAACAGAGGAGGCACTAGAATTAAGAGGGATTGGGAAAGGTTTCTTGTAGAAGGTGGGAATTTATCTGGGACTTTGTGACAAGAGAAGTGAAAAGGTGGCTCAGTGGATAGAGCCCTTGGCCTGAAGTCAGGAAGACCTTTGTTCAAATCCTATCTCAGACACTTACTAGCTGCGTGACCCTGGGCAAATGATCATAACCTCTGCTTCAGTTTGCTCATCTGTAAAATGGGAATAATAATAGCACTTAACCTCCCAGGTTTGCTGTGAGAATCAAATGAAATAAGTGTATACAAAGCACTTTATAAACCTTCAAGAGCCACGTATGAATGTTTGCCTTGATGTTGACACTGACCAGCAAAAATCACGGACCCAATTTAATGAGAAATGTATTAGAGACAGGTCCTGGGCTGTGATTTCATTGGTAGAGAGAGTTCTGCAGGTCACCACCTTCTTTGCAACTTATAGCCTTGGAGAGCTGATTCAAACACTGAAAAATTTAGTACCCAGAAACACAGAGGTGAGATCTATATGGCAATAGTTAGGGCTTCCTGGCCAATTCTCCACCCACTGCACCATATACAGCCTCTAAGACAGAACTGAACAAGGATAAATATAAAGTTCTACACTTTGATTTTTTTTTTAAATCAACATTACACGTACAAGATAGGGCAGGTATAGTGAGGCAACAGTGAAGAAGCTATGGGCATTCTAGTTAACAGCAAGACTGTGGAATCTCCGAGTTAAAAGGGACCATCTAGTGAAATGTTTCTTGAACAAGAATCTCCTCCATGACCTACCTGAGTCATCATCCAACCTTTGCTTAGAGACCTCCAATGAACGGACAGCATGATCCGGTTTGGGATAGTTCTAACCATTCCCAATTTTTTCCTTACTTTAGGCTAAACTCAACTGTTTCCATCTTCCATCCATTAATTCCACTTCTGCTCTCTGGAGCCAAACGGAACGACCCTCACTTGAAGGCAGTTAACACGTCTTCTGCATCTTCTCTTCTCCATTCAAAGCATTACCAGTTCTTTCAGCCAGTCCTCACAGGACATGATCTTAAGGCCCCCTTCTTCCTCCTGGTAGGATCCTCTGGAAGCTTTCAGCTTACTAAGGCCTTTCTGAAAATCCAGTGTCCAGATTGAATACAGAACTGATTGGACCACAGAACAGTGGAACATCCCTGATCCTAGATACTGAGCCTTTCTTAATGCAGTCAAAGGTTACATTATCTTTTTTGATGAACACATACAAAGTTCAAATCTGGTCTTAGACATTTAATAGCTGTGCTACCCTAAGCAAGTCACTTTACTTCTCTGCCTCAGTTTCTCCAACTATAAAATGTCATCTGCTCAGGATTGCTGTGAGAATCAAATCTGTAAAGCACTTAGCACGGTGCCTGGCACACATAGTAAGTGATTAACACATTCTCCCTCCCTCTTCTTTCCTTCTTCTCTTCTTTCTACATGGTCTACCCTGGTAAAATAGAAGGGTGCTTGAGAGCAAGGACTGTTGCATTTATTTTTCTTTCTATCAGCAGTACCTGTCACATGGTAGGCACTTAAAATGGCTAATTGCTTTATCCAAGTCAATGATAAGACTGTTGAACTTCACAAGGTCAAGCACAAGTTCGAGGTACTCCACTGGAGACTTCTTCGAAGTAGTCATTAAACCGTGCTTGACTTTCCCTTTGGGTCTGGCCATTCCAACAGCTCTGAATCTACCTCACTGCATTCCTGTCTGGGCTTCAACTCTTCCTCTTTTCCAGAATAGTATGAGAGAGGCTTTGTCAAATACCTTGCTAAGATCTAGAACTAGAACCCTAGCATTCCTAACCTGTTAACCTTGTCAAAAAAAAAAAAGGAAATGAACTGTACCTGGAGCACCTGATCCTGAAGCCACATGAATTCTCAGTATGCACTATGTGAACTGTTGTCTGGTATAGTCTAATCTAAATCTGATAACTTCTAAGTTTTGTTTGCTACCTGTTTGGATAAATGGGTTTACTAACTATTCACAATTTGTGATAATCCTTAGTGTAGCTAACACGTGCGGGGAAGTTACAAGGCATCTGGATACATGGCTTGGGGCACCCCTCCCTCTTCACAGGACGTTGACCAGGAAAGCATCCTAACCTAAGGTGCTTCCTTTTCCAGATGTTGTTAACAAAAGACTGCCTGGCCCCAAAAGGGACCCAAAATAAAACAATATGATCACAAATTACAAAAGCGTTTATCTGAGAACTTGCAAGAGACCAGAGAGGGAGAGAGAATTCTCAGCTGCTCAAAGGGGGTGTGGAAAAGAGTGAGATATTAATAGTTTTTAGAGGCTTTTGGGAAGGGAGTGGGGGTTAAAGGAGAAGATATCTGTGGACACAATAAGTCAGGAAGCAGGATGTTTACAAAGTCCCAAGCAAGGTCTCAAGGTTGTCTTTGAGCCAGCCAAGGCTGGTTCTGTAGTTTCTGGAAGCTACAGGCATCTCCAAATTCAGCTTGCAGAGGATCACTGGCACGTCAAGCAGCCCTGGGCTTCAAAATCCTTCTGAATGGCTGGTTGTTGTGTTACTCCAGTGTCTGCTCCCCTGTAAACAAGGAAAGCTCTGACATAGGTATAGTCGTGACAAAGCCCATGCTGACAATGTTTATTACTAATGCTTTTAATGCACTGTAGAATTTTGTTAGTACTAAAAGTCAAGGTCACTGGCCTGTAGTTGGCAGATTTCATTATCTTCCACTTTCTGAGAACGGGGTCATCCACCTTTCTTCAATCCTAAGGAAAATGGGCATTGCTCCCATTCTCAAGGTTACTGACAGTGGCTCAGTGATTGTATATGATGGTTCTTTCAGTACCCAAACGTGTCATTCACAGGATCATAACACTTAGGGCCTCAGAAGCTATCTAATCCTACCCTCTTATTTTTTTTTTACAGATGAGGAACCCGAGGACACAAAAGTAGTAATTTAAAGACGTGAGATTTAAAACCAGGTCCTTTTGATTCCAGAGTTCACTGTACTATGTTTCCTCTGACCAGTTCTGCCTTCTCTCATTGGTTAGTTATCATTATCCTATGTACCCTGAAAAGTAGTCTTAAAACTTCTTTGATCCTCCTCTTTTCTCTAGATTGACCTAAAAACAAAAAAACCTTTTTTGTTGTTCTGAGTTTTTCCTCAAAAGCCTTTGCTTATCCTGACTAATCTTACAAGGATTGACATGACTATATTCATCCTCTAATATGTGCCCTTGCCTCTATACTCAGCACATGTCTGAGTCAGGGAGATCTGGGTTCAAATTCTGCCTCTGACACATTGTCCATGGTGCCCTTTCATTAGTCAGTACCTCTTTTTGACTGTGACCCACCTTGCAGCTGGAAGTGCTATTGATATATGAATTCCTACCTGTAAATATGAGGTTAAGTGATGGATTAAGCTTGTATTATTGTTGTTACTGTTGATATTGTGAATGTAACCAGGGTCAAGCCTAGATTTCCATAATAAGGTTCTTCTCACTGGTGGAAAGAATGAGAGGGGAAACATTCTTCTTTCTTTGAGGGAAGACACAGGGTTCTAGATCCACTTTGGGGAGAAATTCAGAGAAAGAAAACAGGTTCTGGAAGGCATACATGTAGGGGAAAGCTAGTTTGCTAAAAATTTCTCTGATTTCCAGCCCATTTCCCGAGAGACTTTAGGGAATTTCCCTTTGGTTATTATTGGGGATTCTCTCTCACTTGAGCTGAGATATCTCACTCTCAGTGGGAGAGCTTATTCACTCTGTGAATTATTGGCTGGTATGTTCTAATCTAATTCTAGTAACTTCTAATTGTTGTTTGCTATCTGCTTGGATAAATAGGTTTGCTAACTATTCACAATTTGTGATGGTCTTTTGTGGAGCAAGCATTTTACAGAAAGTTGTAAAGCTTCGGGCATCCATTGCTCTTTAAAGGATACTGACCAGGAAAGCGTCTTAAACTTCAGGAAAAAAAATCATTTCTTTTATACTACCAATATGGGCACAAGGGGGAAGGGGACGTTCCTCTAAGGAGAGCAGAATTAGCTGACCTCATGGCACCTTCTGCTCCTATCCAGGCAAGAATCAAAATCTCTTTTGGAGAAAGATGAGCAAGATTCCCAAGATGTCTATCAAAGTCTTCCCATGAACCACACATTTAGACAAATCTATGTGGACACACACATAACCTACATGGGCAATACACACATACTACATGGTTATTACTTATTTTCTACTGTAAACTGCATGTGGCAATACCCTTTGGGGAAACTCCTTTCCCAAATATAAATTTTGTATTAAATATAAATTATTATAATCTTTTTTTTTGTTTGCATGTTGTTTGAAGCACTGCCTCATAAATTTGCACGTCAAAAGTGAAACAGATTTTTCCCCCCTTTTCTTCTAACTTCTGCAAAATATTTTGTTCTCTGCTCCACCCCTCCAACTCTAGGGTAACAGTGGCTCCTTCCAAGGTCATTCTTACTATACTTGTAAGTATCCAAGCTGAGTAGACTGCTCATTTTGAGATAACCAACCATCTCCTAATGCCACTATGGTATAATCATCCTTAGGTCATGACAACCAGCCCATCATCGGCTTTACTCCAAATAGGTACCTACACCTGAGGCCAATCACGAGTACAGAACAGACCGTCTACAAGCTAGACTCATGTGCTCTGGCCAATTAACACTCAGAGAAGATTGTGCACAAGCCGAGGCACTTCTAAATGTTGAACAATTAAAAAGCAAGTGGCCTCAAAGATAAGGACTGACATCAGCAGCGGGGAATCTTCACTGCATGTTGTTGTTGTTGTCTGAAATTACATCACTCCTGAAGACCTGCTGCCATCTCCCCACAGACACAGGACTTGTGTTGGCTTGGAAAAGGCTGGCTCAGGACCAGAAAAATACTTACAGGCTTGGACGAGTGTGCCCTTCACCTGGAGAAGGAGCCAAGAGCAGCATTTATACTTTGAGTGCTCGCTCACTACCCACCCGCGATCCAGCCCACTGTAGAGTTCATTCAATTGCACTGGAATATACATAGGTTAGGGGTTGAGTTTTGCTGTCACCTTTTAGTAGCTCAGGGACAATGATGACATCCCTATTTATGCAAAAGGCATTAGTTGTTTACTGTTGGGGAGTGGGAGGGGTTCTCCAACCCTTGGTACTAGCCCCAGGAACCCAGTACATACATATATACTGCCTATGTGACTTGGTCAAGTAACTTAACCTCTCAACGCCCCAGGCAACTTTCTAGGACTGTAAGATGAGACGCAGGTGCTGGCCTCTACTGAGAGAAAGGGTTTCCTCACTAAGGAGTTCCCTACACCAATGAAATCATAAGCCTGGTCCAATGCAATAAAATAAAATAAAATAAAATAAAGGAGAGGGAGAGAGAACGAATACCTGTTGGTTGGTGAATTCCCTACCGCTGTCTATACAAGCTCCTGCCCCTTTTCTACCTCATCAGAATTGTTTCTTTGCCTTTGGTATTTATTTGTTGAGAGCTTCCTACCCCTCCTAGGCTGACTTCCCCTGTGGAGTGATAGCCTATGGGTTCCTACCTCTCAGAACCTTTTTTATCTTTTTTTTCTCTCAGAACCCTTGGAAGTTAACCATTCAAAATTCTAGTGTGCATGTCAGACTACACCTACTTTCCTCATTTGACCCATCACAAAGTCTAAGTGGTCAATTTCTTAAGGTTCTGGTCTAGTTTCTATTCCCCAAATTTAACATTCCACATAAGCCATTCTCTGTGCCTGCAATACACTCCCTCCTCAACACTTCTTGGAATCCTTTGTTCTTTCAAGGCTGATTTTAGGTATCAGTTCCTACGTGGAGCCTTTCCTCAACCTCCAAGTTGTCAGTGTTCTCTCTCCTTCACCCTCCCATTCTTTGTCCCTCTCACTAAATTATCTTGCAGTTACTTATCTATTTACATGTTGTATATTCCAGTAGACTATAAGCTCTTTTGCTCCTAGCACAAAGATGGAACTTAATAAATGTTTAATTGAACTTGGCAGCTTATTCCACTTGGAAATTCATATCGTTACAAAACAAAGAGAGCATCTGTCTCTACTTGCAGGAACTATGTTTCCAAAGCCTCACCTTTGCCTTTCTGTTTCTAGGAACTTTTTCAGGTTCCATCAAAATACAAACGTGCAGCAGGAATTATATAATTAGTAAGACAATGGCATCTTTTCCTTGGTATTATTTCAAAAAAGCAACGTAAATCATGTGCCAATAATGTAAGACACAAGCTGACCTAGAATTCCAAATGGAACCACTCATTCCCCTCAATGTCAAGCGCTCTTCACAACGTCCTCTTTTGGCATCTACCTTGTAACTTCTCCGCACTAAAGGATTCTGCTGCATAACATCAGTAATGAGCTGTGATCCACAGGAAGGGTTCAAGCGTGTCACTTATGACTTTTGCCTTAAGATCACAGAGCAGATGGCAGCATAAGCATTTTGGGGAAGCTGAAAAGGATGGCACAGCACCCCAAGGTCCAGGGTCCTGAGTATGGAGGTGTCAGAACTGATGGAGAGAAGAGGAAAAGTGAGGATGAAGAATGACTACTCTGACAGTTTCTTGTCTCAGGAGACACAGGAGGAGAATCTCAGCAGGAGGCAGAAGGGAAAGGAATGTTGAGAAACCAACAGAAAAACAAAATTTCTGTTAGTCCTGTGTGGTCTATTATCACTTTGGTTTACTGTATTTAGAAATAAAAGCGACCTCAGTAATTACCTAGTTTAGACAAGGCAACTGCAGCAGTGATGTACAATGGAATAAATGCTGAACTTAGAGGCCAAAGACTTGGGTGTGGCCATCACCCGGTGACCATGGGCAAGACTCTCAAGGTTGGGGGGGAGTCAGGTTCATGTGCACAGCTTGGGGGTGATTCCAGGAGGCCCAGAAGGGTCAGTGCTTGCCTGGTAAACTTCAGATCAAGGACATGAACTCAGGTCTTCTGATTCCTTGAAAAGTGAGGTTTTTTTGGTTTCTGCATTGGAAAAGTACATTAGTGATGAGATGAGGTCCACGGGAGGGGTAGGAACCAGTCTCTCATGATTTTAGCACACCGAATCAGGAGACCTGAGTTTTAGTTTCTGCTTTTTGACCTCAGGAATGTCACTTTAGCCCTCTGGGCCTCGATTTCTGCATCTGCAAAAAAAGGATGAAAACAGATGCTCCTAAGGTTCCATTTAGCCCAGAAGGCATAAGTTTGCATTCAGCATGAAAACAAATCTCTTCAATGACCACTGTACATGGTAAATCATCTTGGACAATCAGGATGGTAACTTTTCCTGAAGCTACCTTACCACCAAGTGGAGATTGCTAAAACTCACTGAAGGTCACGCATGCCTCAGGGTAAAAATACTAGTAGTAGCTGAGGAAAATGACTTTATTTTGGTTGTCCTCACAACAATGATACATGCACAACCTAGGTGATCAAGAATGTCAAGAATGGCATCTGTTCACTTGGAACTTAACAGGATATTTTAATAATGTTCCAATATCAGTAGTAAATGATAAAGATCAGAACACTGAGAAGAGAATGGGCATCGTCTCTCAGTATCCACGTATCACCTCTGCAGGTACATTTTCTGTAGCTTAAGAAAATAACTCACTGACTCACATAGAAAACATTGATATGTAGTTCAGCCTCTGGCCTGGAATCTCTAGGTCATTGTCAGAACTGCAGGTCCCTCTTGGAATGGCTTCCTGGTCGCCTCCCCTAGAAGACCCTTTGTGGGGTCTTCCTCAGGCCCTGCAGCCACCACAATGCTCTTCTGTTCTCATGTTCTTTTCCATGGCCTACATCATGTCCAGCTATAAAACAAAAAAGAAAGAATTTAGAAGCGAGTCAAGCTACCATTCCCAGTGTTGCTTCTGTGAACAAGGGAGGTTTTGGAAGGTGAAAGGGACGCCAGGTAGGAACAGCTTCACAAAAATGGTTGCACAAATCTACACACGATGCACATGTATACACAGTCTACTGAAAACCTTAAACAACTTCACACCTGTGTGAGACTTTTGTGGAATTGCTTCATTAGAGAACTTAAGAGAGAAGAGAGCTTCTTACGATAAAAACTGAAATCACAAGATGCAGCCTTCAGCAGGTGGCTGCTGCTACCGGTCTAGAGGAAGGAAGTTTTCAGATGGGAAAGCTAGAGACACAACCATCATCACTTTAGTGCTTACAATCATCAACATTGGAGGGTGATCAAGGCCAGAATGAGCCCTGTTTGTTTGTACTGGGCTGACAGAGAACAGTTAAAAATTAGGCTTTTAAAAATGGTTTTTATTTGTAAACCCACACAAATTGCTATGTGTATATCTCATTTTTGGTTAAGTGCAATTTCAGTAAATGATCCAATTTTGTTATCAAAGGAATAGTATCCCTGGCTCTCTTTTAGCCCTTTGAATGGGAGGATTAATCTTTGTAAATAACAAAACTGAAACCACAGAACCCAGCACGTGCCATTATGAAATTACCTATCTGATTAAATTTATAATGGACCCGAGTAAGTCATGTAGGGGGACTCCATCGTGTAGGAAACTCAAATGTAAAGAAGAAATAAGTCTGACAAGTGGCTTCCCTGGCTCTCTTCACAGCTGAGGCAATTTCAGTCATCCAAGTGCCCAGTCTATGTTTCCAATACTTACTAAGTCATCCACATCTCCTCCTTCTTCTGCTACATCCATGACTTCGGCTGGTTTTTCCTTTGGGGCCAGAAACTGTGGATATAAAGACAATTAAATTACTGAAGTGTTGTTCTCTATCTCTCTCTGGCTGTAAAGGAGAGTTCTGCTTCTCTTCATATATTCAGAAACACCTACTCTAATAGCATTCCGTTTTAAAGCCTCCAGAAGAGGTATAATATTATCTTGACCTATCTATTCCCCATGTAACTGAGGATTTTGAAAAAAGTTATCTGGGATTCAACAGCATGTATTAAGGTAGAGGCGTCTTTGAGGGAAAGGACTCCAAAGTGATTGAAAGGGCTTGTTAAGTCAGTCAACAACATTTACTGAGGACCTATAGGTTCAGAGAACTCCTGCCTATAATTCTTGCCTTTGAAGGCCTTCTAAGTCTCTTTCTCTCCTCTGACACTGTCACTCCTCTGGTGCAGGCCCTCATCACCTCACACCTGGACTACTGCAATGCTTGCCTCAAGTCTCTCCCCACTCCAAT